TTCTTTGTAGGAGAAGTAGCTCAGAGTACGGGGAAGGCACTGATTTTGGTTCTTGTTGGGATGTTGATCTTTTGGGCATTCCATGCAGGCATCCATATCTGAAAGGAGAGGATGGAGCAAGAGGAGGAGGAGGAATGGTTGTTGTTCTAAGATTGCAAGAGGTCCAGCAGAGGGAAAATCGTCCAGTTGGGGAAAGGTATCCAGCCTGAAACTTGTATTACTGAAGAATCACCCAGTCAAATATCATCTCAAGTACTCACATTCCCTCCTTAATAAAGCAGCAGTGACTCACAAAGAGAATTGGAAGTCTAGCTAAACTAAAACAGGATTCCTTGCTTTGAAGAACAATCATTCATTTCATTCTTATGGAAATGCCTACAATGGATATCCATATTTCTACACAAATGAAAATGAATTTTTGATTGTAATGGGTTGGTGGGAAAGATTATTGCAGCAGTCGGCCAGGAAGCACATGATTCAGATCTCATCTTGTGAAATGTTCCCTTGGAAAGTCTTTGAGTGTCATTCTATGTCTATCTGGCTCCTCCATTTGACATATAGGAAAAGGATACTTATCTACCTTCAATATTAGTTCTCAGGGCTATTGGGGGACCAAGGGGGGTACTGGAAAAAATAGGAGAGGAGATTGCAAAGAGCCTCCAACTCTGTCCCTGGTCCCGATTACTGGTTTGTGGGGAATATTTGCATCAGGTCTATGCAGTAGTGAGTAAAGCAGCAGAAACCATACATGTCAGCTGGGTCATGGTCTGAGTTCCTCCTTCCTCTACAGTCCACTTTGCTGAGCACATAATCCCATTTCAGCATAGCTGAAATTAAAGTATAGCATATTTTAATGCATCTGACATTCTGGGAGAGTTAACCCACCAATCCTCAATCAATGCTACGAACACATCAACAAATACTTTTGAAATATAGTGGTGGCAATTTACACAGATCTTTCTGAGGCCTGCAATTTCTTGTACTCCAAATTAGATTCAATTTAGAAGGGGGTGTGCTGTGCTTGAGAATCCCATTAACAAAGGTGCAGGGGGAAGTAAATGTGGGGGTTCACAATGCTCCCTTCCATGCACCTACAGCAAGCTCAGAGATTCCAGAAACAAGATCTATGTGCGCTTTTCAGCATATGCACTATAGGCATGGATGTATTTTTTGCTCTTGTTGCACTTCATTGTCCTTACACTTGGCAATGTACATTCTTTTGGCTTTACAACCATTTTGAAGTGCAGCAGTCTTGAACTGATTTTTTTTCTCTGCATGCCATTAAATGTTTTGCTTGCAGTAGAATGGACAGAAAGAGAAATAGAATTCAGGCCAAGCTGGATTCTCTCTCTCTCTCTCTCTCTCTCTCTCTCTCTCTCTCTCTCTCTCTCAACTATGTATCAGTTCCTAAGTCCTCTCAGCAAATCTACTGTACGTGATGCCTCCTACCTTTCCTGTCGGACATCATCCCTTCTGGGCACGGAGCACAGTCATAGCAGCAAAATTTCTCTCCTTCCCTCTTTTTCCTGCTGTAGCCAGGATAGCAGTTGTCATTGCACACAGAAAGGGGCAGCACCTGCACACAAATACAAGATGCAGACAGCCATTGAGAAATTGTGAGCCAAGAATATCTCATCTTTGCAGCATGGTTCTTGACATGGAAGGATTACATTATTGAGTTTACTCTTGGCTGCTTAGGTTCAGAAAGCAACCTGATATCTTGAAATGAGCCTTGGTGGTAGAGGGCAGGCATTCTATGTATGATGAATGAGTGATTCATTACTTGACAATACCCCTTCATGGATCACTGCTTTGTCATGGCAAAGGGGCTTGCTTGGAGTCATTAAGCTATGAGCTATGCCATGTGGGGGCACCCAAGATGGAAAGGTCACAGCAGAGAGCTCTGACAAAAGGTGATCCACTGGAGAAGGAACTCGCAACCCACGCCAGTATCCTTGACATGGAAATCCTTGACATGGAAAGCCAGCCTTTACATTGGGGCATAAAAGCTAAAAGTTATGATGCCAGAAGAGGAGCCCCTCAGGTTGGAAGGTGTCCTGTGTGCTACTGGGGAAAAGCAAAGGGCTCGTACAAGTAGTGCCAGAAACAGTGAATCAACTGGGTCAAAGCCGAAAGGACACTATCAATGTAAGATCTATCAGTCAAGGTAAGCTAGACTTGGTCATACATGAGATGACAAGACTGAACATGGACATCTTGGGAATCAGTGAACTAAAATAGACAGGAATCGGTGAAATAATTCAGATGACCATCATGCATACTACTGAGGTCAAGAACCCCTCATAAGAAATGGAGTAGCCATAAACAATAAAATAGTAGGAAAAACAGTTTTGGAGTACAATCTCCAAAATGACAGAATGATTTTAGTTCAAATCCAAGGCAACCTGTTCAACACCACAGTAGTCAAAGTCTATGCCCAAACCACATATGCTGAAGGGGTTGAGGTTTACTGGTTCTATGAAGACTTACAACAACTGCCTGAATGCACACCAAAAAATGATGTCATTATCATCATGGGGATTGGAAAGCTAAAGTGGGAAGTCAAAAGATAACCAGAATAAGAGGCAAGTTTGGCCTTGGAGTACAAACTGAAGCAAGGCAAAGGCTAGCAGAATTTTGTCAAGAGAATACAGTGGTTATAGCAAACACTGTTTTTCAACAACCCAAGAGGTGACTCTACATATGGGCATCACCAGATAGTCAACATCAAATTTAAATTGATTATGTGCTCTGCAGCCAAAGATGAAGAAGCTCTGTACAGTCAGTAGAAACACGACCAGCAGCTCACTATGGCTCAAATCATGAGCTTCTTGGTGCAAAATTCAGACTTAAATTGAAGAAAGTAGGGAGAACCACTCAGGTATGACCTAAATTATATTCCTTATGAATATCTCATGGAGGTGATGAATAGATTTAAGGATAGACAGAGTGCCTGAAGAACTATGGATGGAGGTTTGCAAAATTGTACAAGAGGTAGCAACTAAAACCATCCCAAAGAAAAAGAAATGCAAGAAAGCAAAATGGCTATCTGAGGAAGCTTTCCAAATAACTGAGGAAAGAAGGGAAGGGTAAGGCAAGGGAGAAAAAGATACACCCAGTTGAATGCAGAGTTCCAGAGAATAGCTAGAAAAGAATGCTTTCTTAAATGAACAGTGCAAAGAAATAGAAGAAAACGATAGAATAGGGAAGACCAGAGATCTCTTCAAGAAAGTTGGAGATAAGAAGGGAATGTTTCATGCAAAGATAGGCATGATAAAGGACGAAATGGCAGGGATCTATCGGAGGCAGAAAAGATTAAGAAGTGGCAGGATTACACAGAAGAACTATACAGGAAAGATCTTAATGCCCTTGATAACCACAATGGTGGGGTCACTGACCTCAAGCCAGACATCCTTAGACACAGCAAAGAATATAGAAGAATCCCAAGCTTGACTAATTGATATGATGGTTCTTTTTTCTGTTTGTTTGCTTAAAATATAAGCAATATATTGCTTAAAATATTTTTTTTAAAAAATAGATGTGTGTACGTTCTCCACAACTCAGAATCTCATCTGCATATTATTATTTGCATCTACTTCACATATTTTATCTGCTTTCGTGGAATAAGAATTTCCCTTTCACATCCTAAGGAACAGTCTGGTATTAATATCTAGCTCAGACTTTGCTTGCTTTGTGATGCTTGATTGAAAGCTGGCGTCATGATGTGTATAGTCATTTATTGAATGTCATGGACTATATAATGAAGGAATTGAATTACTGGTAGCATTCAGTTGACCATAAAGTCCCACACAACCTGAACCATACACATGCAAATCCACCTCTAAAATTAATGCCAGTAAGATATGCACTCACAAAGTTTGCTCTGTCTGCAAGTAATATACCAAGACTGAAATCTACTATCTGATAAGTGTAGAGAATAACATATATGACTCAGGGGGGTCATAGTTTTGAGTAGACAACTACATAACTCTAGTGCTAATTGACAGGAAATCCAATGTAATCAACGGCTCTTAAAATGCATTTAGTATGGATATACAAGAATCAACAAAATATTACTTTTAATCTTGTAAAATGCTTAAAAAGTTTGCTTTCTGATTTATCTATCCATTCTATATCCAAGAAGGAATGCTTTGCACTTGAGTTTCCAGTATGACAAAATTGCTAACTTCTTTTTTGCCTTAGGAAGGGCTTGTATATGAGTAGACATATATAGAACTGTGCAATGACTCTCATTCTACAGTCCCCATTCTCCACTGGCCCAACAAACAGCATAATGTCCAGTTTGACAGGAAGGATTAGATCTTTGTGGAAACTGTAGAGACAGTGCCCAGGTTGCATACTGTTTTTGGAACAGAACCAGTGGCTCCCCAAACAGCTCACCCAACATTTGTATAGCAAATTGAATCTGCCAGGAAATCAGAGAAATGTCTATTGTAGAAGTGAGATGAGGTTTTAGAAGAGTTGCAGCAGGAATCCACTCAGAGGCCTTCAGAGAAGTAGGTATGGCTCACACAGTCACAGAGAAATTGGACTGTAATACTGGACTTTGTTCCATCTCACTTCAGCATGGAAATGAAAATATTCTAGGTGGATATAAAGGAACAGGTCTGTCTTTGATGTTTGTGCTTAGTTTGGTTTCTGTATACTATGGGGTATGGCTGCCTCTGCATTTGGAAGCCTCAGCTGCTTGAAAAAAGAAAAAGAAAAATACAAGAGCCCAGTTGATGTGGGACTGGAGGGGAGTGATTTACCACTTCATACATTTGGTATCAATTCACCAGAGATTTTTTTCCTAGAGAACCAGTGAGGCTTAGGTACAGCTCAAAATTTTGTTTTGGAAAGGAGCAGAGAGGATTTGTTCTGTTCTGCTTCTTTGAAAATGCAGAATGAGACCCAGGACAACAATAATCCTGAAGTGCTAAAAACCTACATCTGGACAAAATGGAACATTTTTTTAATTTTTCCTTACATTTCAGTACCTGTAACTTGATCTGACCTGGTTAAAACTCCTGTGCCACACAATTAGTTCAGCATCAAGTGTCAGTTCCTTCCCTGGATAAGCCTGCGGCTCCAGTCTTCCAACTTTCACTCTAACAAAAGAGTTATTTGGAAAGGTTACCAAGTTGATAACATCAAAACCTGCCACTGATTCTCCACTTTCATCAAAACTCACAGTATCTCCAGCACTGTTGTTGAACAAGAATCCCCGTAGAAAACGATGGAGCTATGTTGAAAAAGAAAATTATGCAAATATAGAACAAGATATTACTATACCCAGAAAGAGCTTATCAAAGCACCTTTTCCTCTAAAAGCAGATGAGGCATACAACAGCCATTTCCTAAGATTAACTAAACTATGAGTCTCAGGTGGTACATCTAGAGAGGTGGTGAATGTTGCTACCACTGTTCCCCAGTCAGCCAGCCAGCCAGCCAGCCAGCCAGCTCTGGATGTGATGCTATCCTGCTCTGAGAAGTAATCTTCTGACATGGCCACGAGTCTGAAAACCTCTCCCCTTCTTACAACTAATTTTTCTCCAATGTGGTTTTCAAGGAATTCAGCATAACCACAAAAGTATACTGGACATAGCTATGTCCATCTCTGATTCATAAAGCTGGCCTGCTTTTTAGAAATCACTTTGGAATAATTACTGATTATCACAACTTGCTTGGAGATGCCTGTTTTTCTACTTGTAACAACCTTCTATGTTCCAGTCTGGATATGCAAAAACATGCAAACCATGTGTCACAACATAAGTCTTATAGAACCAATGTGGAATGGTAGTTAAGTTGGGGTGGGGGGGCTGGGTTCTAATGAACCTGGACTGGTGAATTTTGTCAGACACGGTCTGTCCACCTGACATATCTCACACAGTTGCTTTAGGAAGCATGAAATGGAGAGGAGGGGAATTGTGTAAGCCAACTTGGGTTCTCTGAAAGAGGAAGAAAGGCCAGTTATACATTTGATGTCAGAATAATAGGGTTGGGCTAGGAAGATCAGCAAGGGATTTTGGGGTTAATGAGAAATAAAAGCCCTCCGAACTGGATTGATTTTCCTGGGTGGCAAAAGCTCAAATCATTGAAGTGTGCATGGGATGTTATTATTAATGCAACCACCGAAATCTCTGCTACATTCACCCATGTTCTCACCTTACATGAAATAAAAAGCAAAAGAAGATTCACCACTGCAGCACAAGAAAGGTAGATGATTGTCTTTGGTGTAGCAACATTCCAGGGCATCAGGATGCTACATGCAAGTTACATTTCAATGTGGTGCAGCACATTGAGCTGCATGGACATTTGTATGTGTGTGTGAAAGGGATGACTCCATCATGCAAAAACAGTTTCCTGTCATTGCACCATCCTCACCTGCCAGGGCTCTGCATCATGACTTGCTAGGACCCCTATGCCTCTGAATCTTTTACATTTCGAATTGCATTTGAATGTAGCATGCATTGCATGTGCTACTGCGTAGACAGCATTGTAGACATTGTAACTGTGGCCAGTCATCTTCCCCTCAAATAATGTACTTGGAAGGGTCTCCAACCTTTCCTCCCCAGTACACAACTTCCTGCTTTCCACATATATCTGGGAAGTGTTGAATTGACAGTGAAATGCCTGCTCCCAGAAATTCTGAAAAAATATGTCTCCTTTATTCCAGTGAGGCTTCATGGTGTGAACAAGTGTGTGGAATCCAGGTGGCTGCTTGGAGTGAACAGCAAAGGTTATGGCACCATGGAAATGCTGGATATCCCACATCCTTTGAATAGAGAGCGATTCAAAATCCCATTGAGACGTTGCAATCCACACTTTCTCCAAGGGTGGCAGTGGCAAAATTGGGGCTGTCAAAAACAGCATTCTCAGATTCTGCCAGGATGGGGGCTCTCCTTGTACAAAGCAGGCACTTACTTTTCTTTCAATGAGAATGGGATAATTTCCTAGTGCTTCTAAAAGCAGGTCTGTATACTTATCCAAATAAGTTCGCTCTGGTAATCGAAATATGAAGGCATGGCAGATATCATTTTGGGAAAGCAGTGGGACCACGGTCTGCAAGAACCTGTCCCCATAGTCATCATCCACAGCCAGCAGCCCAATCCATGTCCATCCAAAATGCTGAAGTAAGCGCACAGCCCCCAGATACTGATGGGATTCCCTGGGCACCATCTGGTACAAAAAGGGGAATTGTGTTTTCTCACCATGTGCTGGGGAAAAGGACCCATATGTGAGCTAAAATCCAAAGCATCAAAATATAGAGATGGATTAGGAGATAATGTCAACTTCTGTTCCATGGAATTTTGGAAATTTGGAAAGAGCCTACCTGTGGGATCCTGGACATGGCAGTGATGATGGCCAAAATTTCAGAGGCTTCAGTCACAAGTCCTCCAATGACAGCAGCTATTTTTTTCTGAGCACCACACTGGAAACTGGGGACAAATCTGTGGTATGTGCAAAGGAGGCCTATGGAGGCCTTGTATGTCATCCTCGCACTGTAATAGCCATTGAGAATGTGGAAGCCCAGAGTGAGGTTTGGCAAGATTTTGGGATTCTTGTTGATCTCCTCTACAGCAAAGGACAAGGCCAGGATGTGCTGGTACATCTTTGGCATGGAACTGCAATAAGAGTTGACAGCATAATACAATAAGAAACCATTTATTTCACCATTTTGTCATTCTACTTCAACATCCTTTTTAGGTGAGGTGTAGCTCCAAATTACAGAAAAGCTTTGAGTGAATCAGCTGCAAGAGATGTAAATTCCATTTTCCAGCTTTTTTCATAGCTTTAACCAGCCCACATGAAATGTTATTTATTTGTGCTTAGAAGAAGAAACTGCTTCTTTTACCCACTTCAATAAATAACTTCCTATCCCATAGCTGAACAGCCAAGCATAATTATTTACATGAAGTGCTTTACTTATGTGATTTAACTCCCTTTAAGGTTAACTTAAGGGAGAGAAGAAATTTACCATTAAACTCTTTCCCCATACCGTCTTTGAAATCACTGAATACACTTACTCATTTCCACTCAAAATCTTCCTATGAAGAACTTAAGTCAAGCAATCTATCTTCCATAAGATGAAGCAAGAAAGTATGCTCTGGCTCTGTCTACTGCATGCAATTCTATATAAAGCCCTTTATAATCCCCTACCAGATCTCAAATCAAAAAGCAGGGATAATACACATAGAAATTGTGTCTCATTTCAAACATTATTTATATGTGTACAATCAAGAGTAAAAACATGAAGAAGAGACACAATATATTTACATTTACGTATAGAAACCACAGGACATAAAGGGATCAGAATCTCAGAGTGCCCTATTCAAGTCTACATTCAAGACAAACCCATATTTGTGCCAAGGTCCAGATCATTCACATGATTGTATGCCCAATCACCATGTATGCATGTGAAAGCTGGACAGTGAGGAAAGCGTCCAGGAAGAAAGCCAATGCATTTCTTGGTGCCAGAGGAGAACTTCGTGAATATTCTGCACTGACCGAAAAACATGCAAGTAGGTCCTAAATCAAATCAAGCCAGAGCTTTCCTCAGGAGGAGGGGGGGAATATAAAACTGAAGCAATCATACTTTGGTCACATCATGAGAAGCCAAAACTTCCTGGAAAAGATAATCATGCTAGGCAACATTGACAGTAGAGGAAGAAAAGGAGAGCAACTATGAGATGGATTGACTCCATAAGGGAAACAACAACCTTGAATTTAGAAAAGCTGAGCAGACCTGTCATGGATGGGAAACTTTGAAGGGCTTTCATTCATGGAGTCATTATCAGTCAGAGGTGACTTGATGGCACATAGCAATAACAAGGCTGAGAAAGGATAAATGAGAATCATATAGAGAGCATACATCATGATGGATGTGTGTGAATAGATGATAAAGGAATGGAGGGAAGGATCAGACCATGTCAATGGCGTTAGTCGGAAATCATTAATCTGAATCTTCTCTTAAACCATCAATCTTTTCCATCTGAGCTTTTTGATCTATGATCATTCACATCTTCCCCATAAAATATTCATTTTTCTGCACATTCCTTAAAATAGATATATCCTCCTAATGCATGTTGAGCAAGTATAGCAGAGCATTCAAAGAAGTATGCAATCCAAAGTATAATGGCATCCTGATCCTTTTATTTCTCCATATTTCTCCAAGTAATCAATATTTGGTTGGTTCACTTAAAATGCTGAGATGATTAATTCTCTCCCATCCTTAAGCAAAGATGAGAAATGGGTGAAAATAAATTAAATGTTGAAAACAAAGCATGAGCACATTCCACCTTATACCTGTTCAGTAGCTATCTTATGTCCTTGATTCAATTTTCAACATTCAAAGGCAAGGCAAACAGAGTAAAGAACAACCTCTGATCTCTTCTACAATCCTACTTTTCTTGCTCTGGAAAGTAAGTCTCATTACATGAGCATCTCCTGAATAATTCCTTTTCCCCAATTCCTATGTCATTGACATGCTGGAAAAAGGAAACAAGCATCCTTACACAGGTTCGTCAATGAGCATCTGTGTGGGTTCCTCTACGAAGGACGGGCTGTCATGAAAGAAGTAGACCTGGGAGGCAATTGCGCCTATGACGAAGTTGCCAGGCTGATACAGTTGGTGGGATATGGGAAGTGGATCACCAGGGATCATGCAGCCCGTAGAATGGGCCTTGCATGCAATAGCAAACTGCAAGACTGGCAGCAGAACAGCTAGTCCCACCATCTTAACATTGACCAACTGGATGCTGACAGTTCCTCTCAGGAATCAGATCTTCACACATCTTATCGAAATGGCATCTGTTTCTGGTCATCCTTACGTGAAAAACTTATGATGCAGATGAGGAAACTCTTGCCCCATAAGCACAGCTCAGTTTCAGTGTCCCCACCACATAGTTAACCAAGTCTCCCTTCGTTACAACTTCTCTGCCAGTGCCTGAGAGCCATGCGTTCCATACAGATTACGTGCACATGCAAGGCACTTCCCCAAACAATTCTCTGAATGATTACTGCCTCTATCCTTGCCCGTGAAACACTGGGAACTGCTATCACCAGACCAGACTCTCTGCTGCACATTTATGTAACAACACAGACATATTGTTGTGGCTCTTGCGGGTGCCCCTATGGAAATGTCATGTTTTTCAATAGCAGGAAGGTAGCAAGTTGGTAATTAGGATGATGAATCATGTCCCCCAGTGTCTTGGGATTTGCTCTTGCAGTGCACCTGATAAATAATTTTATACTAGGATGGTTATTGTCTTTTGGGGGGGGGGGGGGTTGGGGGGGGTTCTAGCAAAATGAATTGCACTGTACATTTTTTTCCCTACAAGAACGACAAAGTAGCCTTTCAGTTTAACATATTTGGTGAAGGGCTTTCCATGTTCGCTCATGCACAAAAATGTGGGGACCTTGAAGCTGTCAAAGGGTGTTACCTTATGCTGGGGCTCCTGGCAGTTTCCCCAGTACACTGGAGCCAGAGTGCTGCTGGCGGCAGCAGCCCCACATTTGTCTTTTCACTGCCAAAGACACATGGAGTCTGTGCAACAAAAGTGATCCTGCATCTGAATCCAACATTCCGTGTTTGCATACACAGCTGTCCACCAGCACCATGCATGTGGGCAAAGGGAATAAGCAGTTCTTGCTATTATTGGGTTCTACCTCATTTGGATTTCTGGAGCAATATACTCTCCACTGCTGGCTTGTTGGGCCTGTTGCAACTTCACCAGAGCCCCTTTTGCCAGGTCATTTCAGGGAACCCAGGAAGATCTTCATGGCTCAAAGAAGTACAAAGAAGAACCTCCGGCAAAGCATATTCATCCCCACCCTGTGCTACAAGTGGCAAATTTGGACTTACAGCAAAATATAAATGAAAGTTATTCACCACAAAAATAAGATGTTTGAAGAAAGTGGCCAGAGTAACCATAAGGGGAAAAGCCAGGAATGAAATGATAAGAGAATGAGATGGAATACATCCCATCCTTAACTATATACAAAGACTGCAAATAAAGGGTTTGCTCACCTGGAAAGAATGCCTTGTGAGTCCATACCATTCAAGACATACTCAAAAAGAGAAGGCCAAAGAGTGTGAGGCAGACCCAGAGGAAGATGGAGAGACACCACTACAACAGCATCACATAACAAGGGTTTTTATTATTTTATTTATTTATTTAGAAAATTTCTAGGCCACCCCATTCGCTGAAGCCTCAGGGCGGCTTACAAATAAATATTAATTATTATTTGATGCTGCCAGAAGTGTAAGAGCCAGAACTTTGTATCTCCCTCGACACCTGAAGCAGTAAAAGAGGAAGTGAAGACAAAGACAAAGACGGAGATGGAGACAGAGAAGATTGGGTTCCATAGTCAGAAATGATGAGCTCTCAACAGGAAAATAAAATCTTTTACTACCTACATTTCTTCCCCATCTATTTGCCAGGAAGTGAGAGGACCGGATGCCATGATCTTAGTTTTCTTAATGTTGAGTTTCAAGCCAACTTTTGCACTCTCCTTCTTTACCACATCAAGAGGCTCTTTAGTTCCTCTTCACTTGCTGCCATGAGAGTGGTATCATCTGCATATCTGAGGTTGTTGATATTTCTCCTGGCAATCTTAATTCCAGCTTGTGATTCATCTAGCCCCGCCTTTCTCATGATGTGCTCTGCATTTAAGTTAAATAGACAGGGCGACAGTATACCGCCTTGCCGAACTCCTTTCTCAATGTTGAACCAATTAGTGGTTCTGTGTCCAGTTCTCACTGTTGCTTCTTGATCTGCATATAGGTTTCTCAAGAGACAAATAAGATGATCTGACACTCCCATCTCTTTAAAACTTGCCACAATTGGTTGTGATCTACACAATGAAAGGCTTTAGCATAGTCAATGAAGCAGAAATAGATGTTTTTCTGGAACCCCTAACTTTCTCCATGATCCAGCATATTTTGGAAATTGGATCTCTAGTTTCTCTGTCTCTTTGAAATCCTGCCTGTACTCAGTCCACATACTGCTGGAACCTAGCTTGTAGGATTTTGAGCATAACTTTGCTAGCATGTGAAATGAGTGCAATGGTGCAGTAGTTTGAACATTCTTTGGCATTGCTCTTCTTTGGGATTGGAATGGAAATGGACCTTTTCCAATCCTGTGGCCACTGTTGAGTTTTCCAAATTTTCTGGCATATTGAGTGTAGCACTTCTACTGCATCATCTTTTATGAGTTTGAATAGCTTCTTGAAAATCTCCTTTAAATGAATGGAATGTACTTCAAAGAAAAGCTGTGCAGAATTGTACTGTCACATATGTTCTTAAACAGGGGTTTATTTGCTTGCTTGCTTTTAAAAAGGAATAGTGCCACATCAGCAGCAGATTCTATCTAACTTTACAGAGATGAAAACCATAAAATGGAATGCAAGACAACAGCCAGGTATTGTCTGTTACCTGCAAGAATGCACGACAACAGGCAGACCTTCAAAACCTGTGTGTGTTTCTTAATACATCCTGCTGGCCTCATAATGAAATGACCAAGATGCTTCTCAAGCACCTGAGTGGCCTAAATAGATAACTAGTGTTTAACCACTGACTTGGAGAATGCCTGGTTGAGTCATCCTGCTGTTGATTGTTCTCAACAAAACAAAAGTTACTAAAGAATAATTGTCTCCAATGAGATCAGATGCATAGGTTCCCTTAAATTAAGACTTTGTATCAGATAATGTCTCCTGAAGCAAAACTGAGAGTTGCCAGGCTGAAGCACTTTATCTGAAAATGGTGTCACTTGCTGCATGCACAAATGTTCAGCCTTTCAAGGAAAACCAGGTCAGGAGAGGTGTACAGTGGCCTGAGTCAACAGGCTGATGGGCAAGCAGGAGATTCCCACTTCTGCCGCAATTTCCGCACAGAAATTAGGAGCAATCAAGAACCTTAATCTGAGGTAGGAAATATGAATGAATATTCTGGAAAGCAAAGTCAAATTCCTTTAGTCATTACACCTGATCCATCAGAAGGCACTCTAAAACATCCGTTTTTATATGAGTACTTCTACGGTGTGCATGTGCATAATTTATGTTCAAAATGCATCATGTTCACAGCCCCATGGAGTGGATGTTCAGATGCACATTCAGATTTTATGCACACCGTTCCTGATCCAAGGAGTGAAGCACAAGTAAAATCATGTTTGGGCATGGTGATATCTATAGCTGAGTTGGGAGAATTGGTTTTTTTACGTTCTTGTGAAAAAAATGTATTTTTATTTAGGTTGCCTATTGCTTCATCACTTCAGGGAAAGATGGGAGGACCAAGCTGAATGGTTCCCAGTGAGGTGCATCAATTCACTGGGATCGTCCAGTTACTCCTGCATTTTCAGTGAACTTGGGTTGGAGTCTTTGCAACCAATTCTGATAAAGGAGGAACTTTCCTACAGAACCTCCTACCAATGCTCTCTCCAATGCTCTCACAGAATGGCATCTGTTCTGCCTTCTCAGAGAGAATACAACCCTCACTGACTCTTTTCACTTCTTTCATTTGATAGAGCTTATTCAGAGGACTTCACTTTTCTACAAAAATACCCAGACAAATGTATTCAGTATATATGCAGACAGTCAATGTCTATGAGAGGCAGCAACACCACCACTTCTGTATTTGAATACCACTTAGTAGTAAACAGGGATATAGCCCTGCTTTAGTGCCTCTTTTACCACATCTGATAAACTAGGTGAGCAACTTCCTATCAAACAGTCCAAACAATGCACAATGTAGAACCCAGAATTGAATGAATTTCTGTTATCCTGAAAAGGTTCGTGGAATGCACATGTAGAAAAACCCAGTCACCTATGTATGGCGATGCATCAGGGTTAGAGAGACTTTCTCACACTTGCAATACTAAAACATAGAGCCATATTGAGGTGGGAATGTTGCATTTCACAGACCAAATGTTTAAAAATTCTGTTCCATAAAAGACAGTGTAAATGACAGAAGGACACATTTTCTAAGTCATTTTTATTGTTCTAGCTTCACTACAAGAACCTCAGCACTTAGAGATTTTCAGCATTATTCTTAGCGTTGGCACTCAGCTGAGATGCCCAATGAAATCTTCATTAGAATAGATTAGGGTATCATCCCAGGTGTTTCCATTCTTCTCAGATGTCCCTTGTCATTTAGCTCAGGCCTCATTAAAATGATGTAGCATTTGGGGGGGGGGGGAATGGAAAGCAACAGGCCAGCACTGGAGGTTAAGATGGAGAAGTTCTCCACTGCCACCAGGAATTTTCCTTTGGTGCTCAGGTAGGTTGGGACAAAGGAGAACCACACACTGCAGAAGTTCACCATGCTGAGCGTGATTAAATTTGCTTCATTGAATGTGTCTGGAAAGTTCCTGGCTAGGAAAGCCAAAGTAAAGCTGGCAATGGCCAGCAAGCCCATGTAGCCCAAGACACAGTAAAACATCACACCTGAGCCCTCATTGCATTCTAGGATGATTTTGTCCTTTGCTGAGTGCTGATTCATATCTGGGAATGGAGGAGACGTACTTAGCCAAAGTATGCAAATGACAGCCTGTACTGAAGAGCCAGAGAAAACAAGAGCAATTGCTATTCTTTTCCCCACCCATTTCCTAATTCTGGATCCAGGTCTGGTTGCCATAAATGCCAGGACCACAATCATGGTTTTTGCCT